CAAATTGAGGTAAAGAATCTTAAGGCAGTGCCAGGAAGGTGAGCTGAGGCAATGGTACCTAGAAAGGAAGGAGGAACAGGAAGGAAGATTGCAAAGGCTCTGTCTGGCTGATGGGAGGGAAGCAGATAGATAGACAGTAGCACAAGCCGCAGAGGAGGCGGGGATGAGAGACGGAGACCCAGGCCTTTACCAGCCCCACCACAGAACCACTGTGGGACTCACCACCAGAGGCTTAGGGAGGCCATCTAGTCCTGCCTAGTGAGATGGCTTGCCCAAGGCCCTCAACTGCCTCTAATAGCCCAGTTCAGAGACCTAGTTCTAGGGTGCCCCTGACCTCCAGTGCCGGCGGCCTGGGGACCAGAGGAACCTACCTCAGAGCAGGTGCAGCGTAGGCAGTACATCAGGCCGTGGGGCTCCAGGTAGGGGTGCCAGCTGTCACCAGGGGAGTATCTCTTCCCATGGAAAAGGCAGAACATGTCTGGGCCTGGCAAAGCAACAAGGGCTGTTAATCCAGGAGATTCCTCTCCCCACCTCTCTGGGAGTCATCTGGACCATCCTTCAGGTGGTCTTCGCTTGAGGCAAAAGACAACCCACTGAACATGTGTTCTACGTCAGGGAGCCTGTGTCTGAATCTCAGCTTGACCACACCCAGATGTGGCAGATGTAGCTGCTGCTCTCTAAGCCTAGACATTTCTCCTCCAGGGAAGTTAGAGATGGAGCAGTGAAAAGGCCTTCCAGGTTCAACTTGGGGCTCTAACTGTTAGTACAACTAGAAGGATAATAGGAGGCACAGGAGAAGAAATCACATGCCTAAGGCCAGGCAGCAAGTCAACCACCAAGCAGAGCTGACAGCCCTGATAAGTGCTTGTTTCCTTTTCCTTCATCCCATTTCCTTTTCCTCCCCAACTCATATTTTCTCTCTCCCTCTCTCTCTTTCTTTCTCCTTCCCCCCCATCTTTGGATCTTGTGACCTACCTATTTTTTTCTATTTTTGTATTTTCAGTATTTGAGATGGAACCCTGCTCAAGGCTACATCTTGAACCCTTTCAGTTTTTATTTAAAAAAAATTCCCTTCAATACTGGGGCTTGAATGAAGAGCTTGGATGCTGTTCCTTAGCTTTTTTACTCACAGCTGGTTCTCTACCATTTGAGCCAAAGTTCCACTTCTGGCTTTTTTATGGGGGGGATGGGGCGGGGGGAGGTTAATTGAAAATAAGTCTCACAGACTTTTCTGCCTGAGATGGCTTCAAATCACAATCCTCAGATCTCAGCCTCCTGAGTAGCTCGGATTATAGGCATGAGTCACTGGTACCTGGCTCCTTTCGGTTTTGTTTTATTTTAATCCAGGGTCTCACCAGTGCTTTTGCCTCGGCTGTTGCAAATTTCTGATTCTCTCACCTGGGCCTTTTGGGAAGCTGGAATTACAGGTCTGTGCCACTGGCCCCTAGCTTGTGATCTCCATTTGCAACAAAACAATTCATAGCACTTTCCTACCTTCATAGCATACAATGTCCCTGCATCTCAGCTAGCCATGGTGGATAAATAACTAAGAAAGTGATGTTTACACATCCTTTAAAATGTTTGTTGCTGCTACTCTGAGCAGTGGTTGGCTCATTTATTGACCTTTCAGTAATCTGCATTTCACTTGTTACCAGATAGAGGAAGTCTTCTAAAAATGACTGAAATACTAGTGTGACATCCCTCCTGCTCTCCTGCCTTCTGGAACCTTCCATCTCTCTTTCACCTCTCATAACTAATTCACTCCCAAGGCCCCCTCGCACATACCACCAGAAAACAGGAGCTCACAAGCCATTCCTAACCCTTAGAAAGTTGAAAATCTCCTCACACTGTGCCTTCTCTGCTCACTCAGGCCTTCCAGGAAAAACATTTGAGGCCATCATCACAATGCCTCAATGATCCATGCTTCTGAGGACCATGGACACACAAAACTTAGGTCTCTCTTTGTCCCCTCCCAGCTCCTCTAGGGGAGGTAGTGACCAGACATCAGATCCCAGTCCCAAAGAGCCAACAAGGCCCCTGGCTGGCCTGTATCAAATGCGCTGTGTTTATCTCTCAGCCTCCATTGGCATCGGGTGGAAGCCAGGCCCAGCTGGGATGCAGGTCAGAGCCAGACTGACTCTCCAAGGAGTGAATAATGTCTTTCTTCCTCAGTCCCCTCCCTACCCAGGGGAGGGGTGATTGCAACACTGTGGTCACCTTAGGTCTCAGCCTGTTGTAGAAAAAAAAAAAAAACAACCCTGCCCTACCTTCCTTGGGGTGGCTCTTCAGCCTTGGCCCCTGTGCCAGTTGGCAGCCCCTCACCTCCCGCCTGCTCAGAGCTTGAAGACAGGGAGAGGCTCAGTCAGTGCTTGGTCCAGGAGGCTCCTACCCCTACCCCCAACAGACCTGGCAGAAGCTGAGACTGTGGGGGGCCTGGCCTGTGGCCATGGTCCCCACCACACCACACCCTCGAAGATGAGAGGCACCAGGAGGGTAGTAATGCCTGGAGCTCCCTCTTCCTCTAGGGAGATGAATGCTCAAGGCCACGCCACGGGGAAGAGAACCTGCTGGGCTGGGCACTGGCTGCCCTGGTGCCAGCCACTGCCCTTTCATATGGCTGGTGGAAGGAGCTCTCCTTCCTTGAGCTGCAAATGTATTGTAGTAGGGTTCAGGAAAAGTCTCTTTCCTTCTCTGAGCCTCAGTTTCCCACTTGAAAAACAAGAGGGTAGAGATAAACTATGCTCTTCAAAGGTTGCCTGCATCGTTCAGGAGTTTAGGATTTCAGATTGGGAGACTCCAAGTTCTAGGTTTCTAAGAATCAAGATTTGAGAATTCCACCAGGCATGGTATGGTAGCTCAGACCTATAATCCCAGTAACTCTGGAGTTGTGAGTACCAGGCCAGCCTGAATAAATGTCCTGACACTCTATCTCTGAAAATACAAACAAAAGGCTGTTGGTGTAGCTCAAACAGTAGAGTACTTGCCAAGCATGAGCAAGGCCTTGGGTTCAGTGCCTAGCACTGCGGGGAGGGGAAAGAATGTGAGAAATCCATGTTTCTAAGAGGCTACAGTTAGTTCATTAGAGCTTGAAGTCTGTAGAATTGCACTACGTTGTGATTCCAAAATGGCTCATTTCAAGATTCTATGATTCCTGGAGAGGTTGATGGCTCCATTCACAGCAACTTCTCAGGTTTTTTAAGCCACTGAGGCCAATCCTGAGTGACATAATAAAGGAGGACAAATTTGTCTCTCTCCTATCTCCCCAACTTCCTTGTGTCCTCCCCCCCTTCCTCTTTCTCCTACCTTGGCCCTCTTCTACTTCCTCTCTCACCTACCACCATTCCCCTTCGCACCCACCTGTGCCCAGGGCTTTCTCCTTAACTTAGAGGCCAAGCGCATCTTCTCTTCAGTACCTTGAGTTATACAGGGCAGGATTTCAATCATGGATTTACTCTTCTTTCATAGCCTGACTTTAAACAAACTACTTAACCATTCTGGGCCTGTTTCCCCATTTGTGACATGGGACTAGTGATCACCTCTACCTCTCATGATTATTATAGAATTAATATGCCTAGTGCCTGATGATCATTTAAATAGATGAGAATAGACAAACAAAAGCCAGATCTAGGTGCCAGCTTCTAACTTTCTTAACAGTTGGCTTCTATTTTTTTTTTTTAGTTCAAAAGTTGTAGGGGGCAGCCCCATAGAATTCTTAGAGCATGAGGGGCTGGGAAGGTGGCTCAGTGGTAGAGCGCTTGCCTTGCAAGCCTGAGGCCCTGGGTTCAATTCCTCAGCACCACATAAGCAAAAAGAAAAAAGCCAGAAGTGGCGCTGTGGCTCAAGTGGTAGAGCGCTAGCCTTGAGCTGAAGAGCTGAAGGACAGCGCCCAGGCCCAGAGTTCAGGCCCCATGACTGGACCCCCCCCCCCCCAAAAAAAAAAAGAATTCTTAGACCATGAATTCCACAGTGGACACAGAGGTCAAAGCTCCCAGCTTCCCGGAAGGACTTTGTAGTCTTCCCTAGCTCCATTTGCAAGCCAGCTCCATCCCCTCAGTACTGCTCACTTGTGTCCTCACAAAGCTCAGCTGGGATAGGAGATGAAAATGACTCTGAAGGTTGAAGCAGAAAGTAGGAAGGAAGAATGAGAACAAAGAGTTCAGGCTCACCACGTGCTGGTGGTTTACCCTCTAATCTTCACTGCTTAAGAGGCTGAGATCAGAGAATTAAGGTTCAAAGCTAGCACTCGCAGAAAAGTCTGTGAGACTCCAACTTCAAGCAACCAGCAAAAGGCTGGACTGGAGCCATGGCACAAGTGGTAGAGTGCTAGCTGTGAGCAAAAAAAAGAAAAAAGCTAAGACTTGGAGGACCTGAGTTCAAGCCCCAGTACAAAAAAAATGTTTTAAGCTGAAGAGATTGGTCGAGACTTAAGAAAGGCTTTATCGGCCCAACGGGTAAAGACAGGCTTTTTGAGGGAGGAACATTTGACACACACATATGTATATGTTATATATAAATGTCATATACATACATATCGTATATATACCCATATATATCATAATATGATATGTATGTATGTATATCCACCTCCACCCTGTAGGGCCCTTGTCTCTCTTTCAAAGGATTGAGTTCTGTCCTGTTACAACTCTCTTCATTGTGAGTTGGAAGGCCATGGTAATGGGTTTGTCTTCCTTATTTGAACAGTAAGCTTCCTAAGAGGAAGGACTAGATCTTACTGCACTTTGGGTTCTGGACAAATCCTCCATCAAGCTGGTCTTGCTGAATGAGTGAAGGAAGGAGAATAGAGGTGACCAAGACCTCCTGGCTATGGGAGATTTGATTGACAGCACTTGATTGCGGAAAGGTCTCTGACGAAGAGAGAACTTCATTTCTGAAAGAGAGCCAAGTCTCTTTCAGCACCTTTACCTTGCCACCTCATGGCAATTAGACTTTGACCTCTCTGTCCAGCTCCTGGCTACTGATTTCTTAACCATCCATCACACCAAAGAACACCATGTACACAAAGCTCAGGAGCCTGGGGTAGCTAAGAGGATAATCATGATCTACGCATGTAAGTCAAAATTTCCAAAGTAATCTTAATCCAAGTACAGACCACAGTCTGACCTAAAACTCTTATGTCGATTATGGTTTCATTGGGAATCAGATAGGGATGGGTAGTGTGGCTGGGAATTCTTTCAATAGGAGGCAAAAAAAGTCCATCAGCAAGAAGCTTCTGGGTTGGAGGGGAGGCTGGAGAAAGTTATGAAAATGAACCAGAAGGGACCAGGGTGAGAAGAGAGGGATCTGTTATTGTGGCTGGCCTGTCTCCAGCCTGCAAGAACTCGGGAAACCTGAGTGATCCAGGCTGCTGGAGAATGTGAGGACTTTTTCATCTCTTCCCTCCCACCCCCACAGCCATACTCTCCCTATTTATTTATAGTCCTCTCTTCACACAAACAAACCTGCTCCCCGCTGAGACATAAGCTCTGCTCTGGGCTCTGACACCTATGGGGGAGATCTCTGAAAGGCATCAGAAGAAAAATGTCAGGGCCTCAATGGCTGAGCTGTGCAACTTAGGAAAATGAATGGGTCTCTCTGAACTTGATTCTCTTCCTTTAGCACAGGCGAGAAATCCAGCAGCACAGACAGGCCTTGGAGGGCCTTGAAGGGGAGCTCTGTTATCTACTCTGAACTCCAGAGAGAGATAGGACTTGCCTGATCACTGATCTGTTCAGGCAGAAACTCCCAAAGCCAGTCTGCACACCTGGAGAGGATGCCTGTTGGGCTGCCCACACTCTAAGGGACAGGGTCACAAGGAAAATGGCTTTGACTTGCAAACAAAAGGAGTGAGGGGAAACGTAGTAAAGAACTCAATGTAGTAGTAAAGAATACTCAATGTTCTCCAGCACTGCACCTCCCAGGGACGCCACTCTCAACACCAGTCCTTCTCTTCAGGAGTTCAAGGGATTCAAGGTCCTCTCTCAGAACCGGCGCCACAGCCGGCGGCTGGGGGAACTTGAGAGGCCAGTCCTGGAACAGGTGCAACGGCTGGAGCAACTTCGCAGCTGTTGTCTGAAAGCGCAGCAGCCTAGCGGCTAGTGAGTGAGGCAGAGACCTCTACTGGTGGGAGCAGGGAAGTGCAGTGCCGCCTGGCCAGAAACGGGGAGGGAATCCTGCCTGGAGCCAGTCTTCAGGCCCCTTCTCCATGCGTATCTGGACAAGTTGATAGGATGTGACTGAAGCTGAAAAGCATAGTGAGTCTCCCACTATACCCATTGCCCCAGGCCCTCTAAGCACTTTTTTCCTAGTGTCTAAGGGTCTGATCCTCCCTGGAAGGTCTGATCCTCCTCTTTCCTTTCCAAAGGTCTGAGGGGACTTGGGAACAAAGCAACCACACCTTTGGATCTTAGACACTTAGAATGACAGGCTCTTAAGAAATTATGTTGCTCAGCCAGGTGCCGGCAGCTCATGCCTGTAATCTTAACTATGCAGGAGATCTGAGGATTGTGGTTCAAAGCCAGCCCAGGCAGGAAAATTCAAGTGACTTTTATTTCCAATAATAATTTTTTAAAACTTCCAAAAAGCTAGAAGCAGAGCTGTTGCTCAAGTAGTAGAGCTCTAGTCTTGAGCAAAAGAAGCTCAGGAACAGCGCCCAGGCCCTGAGTTCAAGCCCTAGGAACAAACATAAAAACCCCAACAACATGACATTGCTCATCCATTTGAGTCCAACTGTCTCACCTTACAGATGGGGAAACTGAGAGGCAGAGAAAGGTGATTTGCCCTGGGTCACAGCTGGAATCAGGGTAGAGTCAGGCAAATAATCAAGGATTCATGACCTGATTCCAAGTTTGCCCTCTAAACAACATCACACTATGGGGAACTTCCTTCCTGTCAAGGCTTGGGTTCTGCAGTTTCATCACCTGGGAACCATCATATACAAAGCTCTAAAGAAAGAGCAGGTTTTTACTGGGTAACTGACCCATAGACTGTCAGCCCTAGACAACATGAGGCTCAGAGAAAGGAAGTGATTTGTTCCAGTTCACATAGCCAATAAATGACAAATCAGGGACTAGAGTGCAGATCTCTGTTCTTTTCTTTTATAAATTACTGTGTGACCTTGTGACAAATTATTCCCTTTTAGTCTTGGGTTTAACTCTAAGGACAGGGTATCTGATGGGTAAAAACAGGTGAGAAAGCTCTTCTAGCTCTAACTTGCTAAAGTCTTCCTCCTTCTCCCCAATGCCAGTCCAGCACACCTCAGCTTTTTGCCAAATCTGGAGCCCTATCTTTATAAGCCTGTAGGGGAAATAGCATAATGTCAGGGCCTGGTGGCAGATGAGTACACTCAAAGGCCAGAAAGGCACAGGAGGGGATCAGGTCATCAGGTTTCTGGTAGAGATGAGGAAGGTCAAGCTGTGAAGAGTTGATAAGATACAGAGGTAAAGGGTATGAGGAAGACACCAGAAATCCAACACAGTGCTATCTTCTAGAACATCTTTCCACAATGCACCAGGGCAGTGATATCTGGAGCAAAGTCTTGAGGCATAAAGGATAAAGGCAAAGGGAAAGGTGGGCAAAGCATGGAGGTCCTTTGACGCTAATTCTATTTCAAGAGCAGGCAAGTACTAGAAAGGAAGCCCACTGCAGAGTTTGTCAAAGGGGAGGTGGTATTTACAGAGTAGTCAGTCCTGTACTGGGCGGTTTAACACAGCCTTAATTATCTTTCTAGAACCTTTCCGGTTCCAGGTAGTACCTCTTTTAGGCATGATGAAGAAATTGAGGCTCAGAGAACTTGTGACTTAGGAAGTCACTCAGGTATAAGAAGCAGAGTTAGGGCTTGAACCCAGTGCTGAGCTCTTTCCATGACCTGTTCCTAAGGTCGGCCGTGAGTCGTATGCCGCTGGAAGGCCAAAGATGTCAGACATATGTCAGCCTTTTCCTCACTAGCAGAGATGTTTCTCTGAAACAAAAGCCAATCCCACCAGCTCCAGAAAGTCACATGCAAAAGAAAAGCATGGAGTTAGCACTGTGGAGACGAGAGAGCACTAGGCTAGGAGCTGGGCGATGGGAACTTTATGCCACGTTCAGCCCCCTGTGACCTGGAGTAAACTACTTCCTCTCCTTTGCCCTGGTTTCTTTCTCAAGTACTTCAGCATCTGCACTGAGCTCTTTAGTTCTCCTTAAAAGAATCTTTCATTTGGTTTTGCATCCTCACAGTATTCTAAGCGATTAGTGTCAAGAGACACTAAGGGATCTAACTAGCCTATGTGTGGGGCAGTGACAAGTCAGCCCAGAGAAATTATATAAACTGCTTGAGGTTGTGCTGTGTATGAAGTGGAAGCACTTGAAATAGGCACACAGATTTGTTTTTCAGAGAGGATTTTGCTATATAGCCCAGGCTGGCCTGGAACTTGCGATACTCTTGCCTCAGTCTCCCCAAATGCTGTGGTTACAGGTGTGTACCACCATGCCTAGCTTTAACAACTCTGCGTGTGTGTGTGTGCGCGTGTGTGTGTGTAATTATCACTTTCCATCCTTGTGCTAGCTGCTTGCCTGGTTTCTATCATTGAATTATTATGACAAACCTGGAGGTGATTTTTGTTGTCAACCTCTCATTTTCTAGATTTTCTGAAGCTCAGAGAGATGCCTTCCAGGCCTGCCTCCCACCAGTTGGGAGTCCGTGGAGCCTGGATTGTGGAGACTGCGGTGGAGTTCGCTGTGTCCTGCTGCCTCCAGTCTTACAACTCCAAAATAAAGTCCTTTCCTGACACTGTGGGGCAGGCTTTGGAGTAAGAGAGTTCTGGGTTTGGATGGCTCTGTAAATTCCAACAAGTCTCTCTCTCTCTCTCTCTCTCTCTCTCTCTCTCTCTCTCTCTCTCTCTCTCTCCCCCTCCCTCCCTCTCTCCTTCCCTTCCTCCCTTTCTCTCCCTCTCTTTCCTTGTCTCTCTCCTTCCCTCTCTCCTCTTCCTTTTCAGTCTTTCCCTTTCTTTACTTTTGTGCCTGGGGCTTGAACTAGGAGTTCTTGTTCCTGAGCTTCTTTTTTTTCCCCTCAAGACTATCACCCTACCACTTGAACCACAGCTCCTTATCTGGCTTTTAATTAGCTTACTGGAGCTAAGAGTCCCATGTACTTTCCTGCCCCGGCTGGCTTTGAACCGCGGTGCTCAGATCTCAGCCTCCTGAGCAGCCAGGATTCCGGGCGTGAGCCATTGGTGCCTGGCTCCGGACTCTCCTGGCTTTTCAAACGTTCTTCCCGAACGCAACAGTCCGTCTTGTCACTCCGCTTTGCTGCAGCCGAACACGCCCCGACTCCTCTCTAGGAATCAATCCCCTTCTCCAAACGCGGGTGCCCTGCCCACCGATCGCTGCCCTCGGTCTACCGTCCCCGGCAGCGCTGTCCCCTCCGCTGGCCACAGCTCCGGTCCACCCAGACTCACCAGTCCGTACTGGTGGGCAAAGGCGTCTCCACCCGCTCGGTGGCAGGTGCTGCCCGGATGACGGTCGCCACGGCTGGGGGGAGGAGGGGGGAGCGCCCAGGTCCCGGCCACCCCCCAGAGGGGGGACCCGCACCCCTCCGCCCGCCCAGCCTCAGCCCCCCACTTACGGGCGTGCGAGTCCAAGGGGAACCAGAGCAGCGCCAGTCCCAGCAAGGCGGAGAGGAGCCTCACCTCGGGAACCATCCTTCCTCTCCCCCCGGCCCGGGGGCGTTGGGCAGCCCGGCCCTGAGCCGAGAGGGCCCCGGAGGCTCCGATCGGCTGCGCCCAGGGAGGAGTCGGAGAACGGAGGATGGGAGAGGATCGGGGAAGGGTGGCCACGGAGGGCGCGATGGGGAGGAGGAAGGTCCGCGACCAAAGACAAGGGCGGAGAGGGGAAGGCAGCGGGCCGAGGCGCGGGGCCTCGGCGGGGCTCGGCGCGCGCGGGCGGGCGGCCGGCGGCGGGGAGTCCCCGGGGCTCGGTGGGCTGCGGCTCCGGCTCCGGCGCGGCGGCCGCGGGGGAGGCTGAGCGCGAGCCGGCGCTGCTCGCCAAGGGCGCCAGGCGCCGCGCTCGGGCGCATTTGTACTTTGCCGCGGGAAGCAGGCAGCCCCAGCCTGGCGCTGGCCCGGCGCTGGCGCCGCCCCCGGCGCTCCGCGGACTCGTGGATTGGCCACTCGCGATGCAGGCCCACTTTCTCCCCCCTCCTCCCGCGTGCCGGTCTCCGGGACCGACGCTGCAGGCGCGGCGCCCGCCGAGGGGAGGCCAGGAGGCTGGGGAGGGGGAAGGGGCCGCCCGGGCTCGGGGAGGAGGGGGTATTAACCCCTGACTCCCCGCGTTGCCCCGAGTGCTCGGGTCGGGGGCGGGGAAGCCGGGGTGGGGGTGGGGGAGTGGTGCGGGGCGGGAGGCGAGGGGGCGACGTCTAGTTAGGCTCGAGGTAGGACTTTCAGGTGGGGAAAGGAGGAGCTGTTGGGATCGGATGGGGAGGTGGAGACCGCTCCGGGCCGGGCGCCGGGCGGTGCGTGCCTGCAGCTCGGCATCTGGATGGAATCAGGACACTTGCCATTCTTAATTCAGTTTGTGGTCTCGGGCACGCCACCTCGGAGTCTCTTGCTCCGGCTCTAAAGTAGGGGTTTTAATGCCTTTATAATATCTTTAATATCTTCCCACAGTGGTTGGGAATGAGATCATGAAGGGCACATCACTCGAACCTCAAAGGGAAGATGGCAGAAACTCCAGGTGTCTTGGGTGTCAGCCGCCTTCCCACCCCTTCCCCAGGGTCGCCCTCCACCCCTGCCCTCATTGGACACATGGGGGGGGGGGACCTTGTCTCCTAGAGACCTCTTCTTAACCTGTGTGTATGAGGCCTTGCCTCTCACAGGTGACGTCAGTTTCAGTTTCAGCCAGAGCTGGGTCAAAGGAGAGTGTCACCTGAGGCCACCAAGTCTTCAGGGCAGGGCCCCCAACCTCCCTCAGTCGGTGGCCTGTTGCTCCATGCCTTGTGTGAGCACATAAACCAACAGGACCCTAAGGAAAAAACAAGCAAGCTCCTTCCATGCCGCAAATATCCAGGCTCGCCAGGCGCCTGGAATCCCAGCTACTCTGGAGGCTGAGATCTGAGGATCTTGGTTCAAAGCCAGCCCAGGCAGGAAAGTCCATGAGAGTCTTAGCTCCAATTAATCACCTTCCCCCAAGTCAGAAGTGGAGCTGTGGCTCAGCACTAGCCTTGAGCACAAAAGCTCAGGGACAAAGCTCGGGTCCCCAGTTCAAGCCCCAGGAACTGCACAAAAAGAAAAAGAAATATCTAGGCTCTGAAATCAAAAAGGCAGAGTCATGTCCTGGCTCCATTATGTTGGTGACCAGTTTCTCTGGGCATGTAGAGGAGAACACAGGAGTTAAGAAGTAAAAAGGGGTGTGGAGTCACACCCCACTCCTCCAGGTTCCAATATTGTGACTGGTAGTGTGTAAAGACAACTTCCTGGACCAAGGCTGGGCTCCCCTGGGCACCCCTGGCCCCTCAAACAGTGAGCAGTAGAAACGACCAGTGTGCCCAGATAGAGCCCTCAGAATCACATAACAACATGACCTGTCCCCAGTGTCCTTCAGATTTACTTCTCCACTACGCATCTGCCCGTCTCTCCCTCTCCCTGAGGGTGCAGTACTTCATATGAACAGATAGTTGAAGCTATGTGTGCCCTTATGAATCCCTCCTTGCCTTGGCTTTTGGAGAATGCAGAATTCGGTTTCATGTTTGACTTTTGTACAAGCTCATCCCAAATGTCTGAGAATGAGATCTTACTGCTCTCCATCTTTGTTTAAAATATGTGTACACATATATTCATGGCTTAGATGTAAGAGGTGGTTTAAGATTCGCCTTCCCTTCATTCTACTCATCCTACTTTACAAAAATGCCTCCACTTCTCATCTCTCCTCTCCCTCCCTCTGCCTTATGCAGCTGTTCAGCACTTCAGCATTCCTTATTTAGACTTGTCTAAGTCTCTTATTTTGTTCCTTTTTCTTTCTTAATTTATTTCTTCATTTATTTCTCCTTCCTTCCTCCACCCTCTCCCTCTCTCTCTTTCTCTTCTTTTCTTTTCTTCCCTCCCTATCCCTCCTTCCTTTCCTCCCTCCCTCCTTTCCTTCCTTCTTTGATTGTTTTCTCTGGCCTGGAACTCATGACTTTCCTACTTCATCCTCCATGTTGAGAACTGGAATTACAGATGTGCATTACCAGCTCCCTAGCATCCACTAAACAGCAGGTCTTCTGTTCCTACTCTGGGTCACTCAACCCCAATATATTTTCCTCACATTTGCCATAAGAGTTCTACTGACTATTTCCACTACAGATCTCATTACATCACTTTTCCTACCAAAAAACCCACTATGGCCTTCCTATCACTTACAGGTGAAATACAATTTAAAACAATTCACTGTTGGTTTCAAGACAATGAACATTTGGTTTCTTTTCACTATCACTTACCTTACACTTTTACCAACCACTCACATCCCCAAAGCAGCCTTTCATCTCCATGCCTGCACATCCTTGTACATATTTTCCCTGTCTGGGATATGAACCCATGGAGTAGAGCATGCTAGGCAAGTGCTTTGTCACTGAGCTATATCCTCAGCCCTTTAAAAATCTTATTTGAAACTGTGTTTCACCAACTTATCCAAGCTGGCCTTGAACTCTTGATCCTCATGCCACAGTCTCTTGAGTAGTTATGATTACAGGTGTGCAAACTATACCTGGCTAATGAATGCCACCTTGCTTTTCAAAGTCATCTCTGAGTCGGTTCCCCTCTGAGGTCTTTCCAAATGCCCTCCAGACAAAGTGATACAGAAACTTAATTTATTCATATTTACTTATTTATGCCACATATTAATTAAACCCAGAGGGGCTGGGAAGGTGGCTCAGTAGTAGAGCGCTTGCCTTGCATGCCTGAGGCCCTGGGTTTGATTCCTCAGCACCACATAAGCAAAAAGAAAAAAGCCGGAAGTGGCGCTGTGGCTCAAGTGGTAGAGTGCTAGCCTTGAGCTGAAGAACTGAGAGACAGTGCCCAGGCCCAGAGTTCAGGGCCCACTACTGGACCCCCCCCCCCAAAAAAAAAAAAAAAGGAAAAGAAATTAAACCCAGAGACCTAAGCTTAGCTCTATCACTTGAGCCATGCCCCCAGGCCATTTTGCCATAGCTAGTTTTTGAATAGGATCTTGTGTTTATGCCTGGGCTGACTCAGACTGTAATCTTCCTACTTACACTTTCTGAGTAGCTGGTATGACAGGCTTGACTTTTATTGACTGAGATGAAGTCTCTCAAATTTTTTGCCCAGCTGGCCTTGAACCTAGGTCTTCCCCAATCTCACCCTCCTGAGTAAGTAGAATGACAAGAGTGACCCATTAAGACTGGGCCTTCATTGTATTGTATTGTATTTATTTATTGTCACTCAAACTTTATTTGGCCTACACTTGAACCAAGATCATTTTACCTCTGCCTCTCAAGTAGTAAGTATTAGACATGCACATTACCATACCTGTCTGACAAATGAATTTTTTGTGTTGTGGGTATTGTAGTATAAATAATTATCTACATAATGCCCTGCACTGTAGGTACAGAGCTTTTTTCTCCTTTCATTTAGGCTTCAATTTCCAGCACTCAGCAAAGTCTCTAGCACATAAAGATTTTGAATTAATAACTGCTACCCTACTGCCAGGCACTGGTGGTTCACATCTGTAATTCTAGCTACTCAGGAGGCTGAGCTCTGAGGATTACAGTTCAAAGCCAGCCTGGACAGAAAAGTTCCTGTG